CTTTAGCAAGACACAGAAAATATTCTGGGATCTGAAACATATTTCACTACACAAGAAATGCTTCTTACTCAGATCCTCTTTCCCATCTGTCCAATATCAGAGGCAGATCCTCCAACATGGCATCCTGCAGGTGTGCATCCCCAAATTAGTGTACTTGACAATTCTGCCAGTTGGGAAATTCTGGGAATTGCTTTGCAACCCATTTGAAGGCCCAAGATTTGGCATGATTTGGAAGAACACTGTTGGTAAAAATGCACCTGCAGTCACAGGTGACCAAAAGATACAGCCTCATTCCTTCTAGCTCTTTCCCCATGAGCCATTTAGCATCGGTTGGGCTGGGGCTCTGTTTGTCTCCCTTTTATAACTGTGGGATTCACAGCAACAAATAATGTTGTTATCAGTTTGAAGTTGAATAGCTTCACATGGTTTACTTAAGGTCTGTCTGATATGATCCTGGCAAACAAGTCTCTTGAATAAATTATTTGAAGACTGTAGAGCAAGCATTTATATTTTGTCAAGCTTTGTATATACATAGCAGTCTGTTGCTGATGTTCCTCCTTGGTCTACAGTCAACTAATGCAAAAGTATCAAATGTCACCAAGCTGCATTTGCTTTAGAAAAAGCTGAGCAAGGTGAAAGCTAAGATGGGTTTGGGCTAACCCATTGCTTTCATATTGGTTATTAAGGTATAAATTCTAGAAAATAATTGCATGGGCATACCACTATATTGATTTCCTAGATCATTCAGAAACCGTACATTATTTAAAACCCTTGCAGTTTGAGGATTTCTAACTATGATTTTTCTACTGGCCAAGCACTGGGATCACAGCCCGCCCCACAATGAGCACATTGTATAAGCTACAACATTCCACTGGGATCAATTTGTGTGTTTGGTTTTTTGTTGCCAAAGCCATTCTGTCATTTTGAGGCTCAAAAGGCTGTTCTGTAAATACAATCATGCATGAACCATTTACTTAACGAAGTCTGAGTTGAGTAAGTGGACCACTGAATTAAAGGGGGGAGGATAATTAATGAGAATGGTGCTTAGTGCACTCTGAACACTCTATTAGATTTACCTCTAAGGAAAAGCAATGGCTATGTACAAAATGTGGAAAATCCATCTCAAGCAAGAAATGTAAAATCATACAACTGCCTACTGTGCTCTTGGGAGAACTTATATTTGCGGGGGGGGGGAGGTATTCATTCTCTTCAGCATTTTTATTAGAAGTTTCCCATTCTCTTCTGCCTTAGTAAAATATATATATATACTCCCCTTTTAGCAGGTGTTCCTAAAACCCATGGAATCCTTAATGCTAATGAATCAGTTAATCAGCATGTTCCCATCACTGGGATTAATAACGGGTCAGATTCTGGCGAGATGGAAGTGCCTTCTCTGTTACACATTCATAGCCTCCATTCACCATGAGATGTTTGACCAGCTCCAGACTTAATACTATTGTAAATTCAACTTATGATCCATCCATTCTCCAAAGCATTCCAATAATAATGTAACCTTTCTCACTCCCTCTCTCCCATTCTGATCCTTCGAACAACTCTCTCATTTTGCTCACAAAGCTGGCTTAGCTTAGTTTCTGAAACAACCCAATGTCTGGGTTTGAATAACACCCTGAACTATAAACTAACCAAAGGGTAGGGTCAGCACAATGTGCCAAGCCACAAATAAGCCAAGCAAGTTAAAAATAACCATGTTTAGTGGGTACAAATGGGTCCTTCACAGACCTGGGAAATACAGTTTATGGAATAGCTTAGGCTGAGAACACATGATGGTTCTAAAGGCCATCCTGTCAGTTAATTTCATGTCTGAACATAGATTCAAACCTGGGTCTTCCCAGTTTACATTTATTCATTGGATATTATATATGAGGTTATTGAATATGACATATTTCCCTACATATTCAAGGTATGGCTGTACACCGCCCAGAGTCAGTCACTTCTGGTGAGATGGACAGCTATATAAATTTGATTCATTAATATTTGAGACATTGGTTCTTATTGTCATAGTAGTTCCTTAAGAATTCTTTGCCTATGCAGTGCTTCACATCATTAAAACCTTCCATGTATGATGTGAAGTGTATGATGCACAGATGATCACCAGAGGTAGCAATAATCACCATAATGGCAAGGGGGGGAAAATCATCATGCTGTTAATCTACGAACTGTAGGGACTTACAGAAAGTTTCACAGCAGACTTTCAGGACTGCCATCTCTTGACCTTTTAAACTTTCTGTGTGTGGTTTACTCCTGTGTTTTGAAGAGTTTATTTTTCTTGGGGATTTGCACACTCCTTTCATGTAGCTGAACATGTCTAACTTTTGAGAGATGCACTGTTTGGGGGGTATTTTTCAGACTCGAAGTAAACAAGAATGAGAGATTAGAGAGGGAAAAATGCAGATCCTGTGAGCTTTAAAGCCTTTGAAAAAGTTGGGCTTTTTTTTTTTTTTAAATCTTGGATGTTGTAATGTAAGCAGAACATAAGAAGAAAATTGCCAGTAAATTTTTTTTAAGTAAAATATATTAATATTTGCAGTCAGGATTCTTGTATTTAAAAAAATGCACAGAAAAATGAATTAATTAGAATGGTTTTAAGACACCAGTACTGCTTAATATGTTAGCAGAAAAGTTAATCACCACTAGATTTACAAGCAGGCATATATAGGACTGGGGGAAACAAAAGACTTGAGTCACAGATTCCCATGCCTGCACATAACACACATATGCGCGCGTGCACACACACACATTTCTTTTAACCTTAAGACATTTAAACCACATTACACAAACAGGTGATTACTTGGAACAACATTTCCCAAACCAATACACTCCAGAGGTGTTGGGCCAGTTGCTCCCAGAACTAGCTAACATGGCCAATGTTGAATTCTGTTTATTATTTACATCACAGCATGTAACAGCTGAGTTGCTGCCATCATTGGGGTCAGAGGTCCAGATAAAAGGTTGAACAAGCTCTTTTTGAGATGCTTATGGGAAAGCCAAACCAGAATATCTTTATTGCAGAGGATTACTCTATGTTGCAGACAAGGAAGTGTAACTTTTAACACCAAAGCATAAACAAATACTGGAAACATTAATGACTATGGATCAGCATCATTCTTTCCTGCTTTTTATTCTTTGTATATCCCAGTGTGGGAAATGGCCCTATTTTTCTTGCAGAAGATGGTAAAGACAAGCATTCTGACTTGATTTTGTCACCATGCAATTTAATGATGTGGAAAAGTAATATCATTGTGTTCAGAGTCACACTTCTACTGTAATAGCAAGCTGATTAGCTTCATCCCTTCTCTCTTCCTTGCTGGCTTTTTCCTCTTGTATAAATTTACTCTAATTGCCAGCCTTATCTTGAAGCTGCTCTTTAAACGACCTCTTGTTAGGTCTACTTAAGGATCATGTGTCTTTGCGTGTTTGGCAGGCTCTGGAAATCTGCACTCACACACATACACACCCCCAACAAGAATTGTAATGAATACAGAAACATCACCGACAGTGAGAAAAAAAGCTTCCATTAACAGAATCTGCTGCACTCCCTTGATTGCATAATCAACGGCTAATGAAATTGTCCTGGTAACCAGAGTGAGCGGGTTGTAGCACATCCCCTCGAGACTGAAGTGGAAAGAGAATTGTGCCACTGTAACGTGAGGCCTATTGATTGTTCACTGTTTGAATCTGATTACCCTTAAGAGGAGCAAAACAAGGATATCATCTCCAAACTTGGGTCACGTGATTGTTATTTCCATAGAAAGTTGCCGTTTGGATTCATTGGGGGAAATAGACGCATCTCAATAGGTTGTCAAGATGAGATCAGGAGGATGTGGACTATAGTTAGCTAACTTGTTCTCAGTGGGCTAGAATAATGTTGTCAGTCTGCTGTGTTGTATTTTCTGACCAAAGAAACATTCTTTAAAATCGGGGAGGAGCTTGAGAAGCATCAGGAGGATAGGTTGCAAGAGAGAACATGCCTCCTGCTTCTTTAGAAGTTGTATCAAAGACAGGATTTCAGCACTGGGCTATCTTTAGAGGGCAATGTCTGGGTGATAAAAAATATATAGAGAAAGAAATCTAGAAAATAAGATAGAACTGTTCGCGTGCAGAAAAGAATATTGAAGACAGAAGCCATTTCACATGGCTCAGTTATGGCATAGTGCTGACATAACTCATGATCCAGAGTTTGGAAGATCCTACAGAATCTCATACCATGTGTTTTACCATCTTTATTTTTATTTTTAGTTTACATGAATTCTCTTCTACTTTCTGTTATCTGTGAGTCATCTTAGCTGAAATTACAGTGAGCCTATGTTTGCAAGAATGAGTTTCAATGGATCATGGTTTGTTCGTGCACATATATTAATGATAGCTCTATAAAGAAAACCTATGCATGAGAGGTAGGGAAGAAAGAAGAAGCACTGAAGCTTAACAGAGAAGTTCCTATTGAGTCCCTAGCATACCGAATTTGCTAATTATGTTTAGATTGTTTATTGCTAATTTAGATTGTTTATTGCTAATTATGTTTAGATTACATTACATTACATCTTCTCTGATCTTACAGAAAAGAGTAAAATATAAGAGAAGGCAAAAGTGCTAGGGTTATTTTTACAAGTGAAGATGGATAACATCTGGGCCATGCTTGAACAAGCATCTAGATGAGAACTTGTTTTAAATATGACAGTTCTTAAAAGCGTTTGGATTCGTTTTGCAGATCAGATTTTTAATTTCCAGTTGCCTTCCCACCAGCCCTTCCTTTCCCCAAAATACAATTTTACTACTCTTCTATACCTTTACCTTTTGAAATGGCAATAGCAGGGTGTGGTGAGGGCTATTTCCTCTATTCTTCCTCTCTATTCCCTGTTATACTTCCTATGAACTAACAAGGATCAGTTTTAGCTCTTTTGCTTAAGCAGAGGGCTTTCTGAGGAACCTTTATGGGACTTCTTAATATCCTTCCTGCAGATTTTTTTTTTTTCTCCTCACAGGAGGAAACCCAAAAGGGAAGTTTGCCCTTGGCCTGGTTCAGAATGAATGGAAGGTATATGTCAAGAGACCTCTAGATCGAGAAGAACAGGATGTCTACCTGCTGAACATTACAGCCACTGATGGGCTGTTTGTAACACAGAGTGCAGTGGAAGTGATCGTCACAGATGTCAATGACAACAGCCCTGTTTGTGATCAGGTTAGTTGGCAGCTTTTTTAATTGATGGAAATCAAGATAGATCAGACAGACAGACATATAGGTGATAAAACTGAAGAACTGTGTTGGAGCTATTGTGTGTCATGTTTCCAATGACAACCCATCTGAAGATGGCCAGCATGGTCTAGAAATGGATGAGGGATGGGGTGGCACTTTTGAGCTGTAGCAACTGCTATATACGTGGCATAGGAAAGATAAGCAGCCAGATAGCAGTGAAGAATGAAGGCTGACATTCTATACAGAAGAGAGATGAGGATCAACATAAGCTCTGAAGGTAGATTTATTGCGCTGTCAAAGCTTTGTGGTAAGCTCACCTTTTCCTAAGGCAAGATCAGTGTTGGGAGAGGTTTAGTTAATCTGAGGACTGCAGAAGTGCTCAATAGAGTCTCAGCAAAAGGGTTATTTAGCCCATCCACTTTTCCAATGGCACATTCAGAGCAGTCCCTGAAATTACTATTGGCTAAAATTGTTACATCATCGCCACAGTGTGAAACTGTCACAACCCATGAACCATCACAAACCAGTCTTCCCTCATTTGATGCCCTCCCAAAGTGCTGACCTGCAATTCTTGTCATTCTTAGTCACTCCCTTCCCACTCTTCTACTACTACTACTAATAATAATGGTAATAATAATAATGATTTATTAAATTTATACGCCGCCCAACTCCCAGTGACTCTGGGCAGTTTACAAATTGTTAAAAACATTAAAAACAAGAAAACAACACAAAACAAAAAAGAACAAAAATGGCAGAGATAACAAACCCAGATAGGAACCAAGAAAAGAGGGTATTAGTCATCCTTGCCAAAGCTTTGAAGCACCAGCAGGGTGGGGACTGTTTGACTCTCAGGGGGACCTCATTCCAGAGGGCAGGCACTGCTATAGAGTATGCACACTTCCAGGGTCCTGATAGATGGCATTGATTAATCTAAGGAACCCGGAGCATGCCAACCCTGCCAGATTGGATCAGCCAGGCAGATATTATGGGAGATAGGCAGTCCCTCAAGTAATCAGGCCCTGTGCCATGTAGGGTTTTATAGGAAACACCCAGCACCTTGAATCTCACCTGGAAACAAACTGGCAACCTGTGCAGCTTGCGAAGGAGAGGTGTTACATGGCCTGAAGCATGCTCATCACAGCCTGCACTGCTGTATTCTGAACCAGTTGAAGCATCTGGGTGGTCTTCAGGGGCAGCCCCATGTAGAGCACATTGCAGTAGTCAGGCCATGAGTTGACCAGGGCATGAGTGACTGTCTGAAGGGCCCCCCAATCTAGGAAAGGGTGCAAGTGGTGCACCAGATAAAGCTCTGCAAAGGCCTTCCTGGCCACAGCTGCCACCTGCTCATCAAGCAGGAACTGTGAGACCACGAAGACCCCCAGATTGTGCATCACCCTTGAATGGGGAAGTGCCACCTCATCCAAGGTCAAGGATGGAATATCCCCAGATTTGGACGGTCCAAACACTCACAACCACTTGGTCTTAGTAGAATTGAGTAGGATCCAGACTTGCCAGCCTCCAGGCACTGGGACAGGACCTCAACAGCCTCATAGAGGCTGGTCCAGAGTCAAAAGATATAATTGGGTATCATCACCATACTGATGATACTGAACCCCAAATCAGCGGATGACCTCTACTACTATTTGTGTCAAAAGCAGTGAAGTGCCATTCCCTTAACTTGGCTTTGACCCATCCTATTTTGCTTTATCTGTCGCCCCTTTATATCCAAATCAATGTTCTCATCTTCAGATCAAGAGTACTAAATGCATGAAAGGAGGAGACCAATCTTGTACACCATCCCTACCCTCTATAAATTACATGGAAGGTGTGAACAGGCTTCTGTGTTCATACAGTTGTCTACATCCATATTTTTCCATACAATTGAATCTTTCCAGTTGAAAATGCTGAGCTTATGAGCATGCAGGTTCTCTATGTTGGAAGTCCACTCTTATTTTCTGCTGAATATGCAAAGCTGGGAAATGAAGTGAGTGAGATCATCTCACTCCATGTGTTCAATTTTCCAGGATTTGAAAAAGAAAATAGACCTCCCATGTTATTTATTCTTTCATAAATGTTATTTATTTTCAATAATAAAATGTTATTATTGGTATGATTCTCCGTATCGCTGAGCAACATGGTGAATCAAGAAAGTTGGAATTTTAATTGACCATCATTTGCCCACCTAAACTGGAATAATCTGTTCTTTTTTGGTCTTAAGGTTACATATATGGCAATATTTCCTGAGGACATTCCTCCAAATAAAATCATCCTTAAAATGGGCGCACAAGATGTAGACATTGGATCCAATGGTGAAATTCGCTATTCTTTATATGGTTCTGGAAACAGCAAGTTTCTTCTGGACCCCGAAAATGGTAAGATGATGATGAATTTTTACATGGATAATTTCTGTATTTATTTACTGTTGAAATTAAAGCTACTTAGGGAGTCTGCTGATATCTCTCCCTCAATCCCTAGGTGCCTCCTTCACATTGCTGCCAAAATATGCTGGCTGCTTCCAACATTTTACTTCCCTTGACCAAACTACAAGTTGCCTAGTAGTTCTCAAAATAGAGCTTACAAGGGAGATCAGCATCTGTCCCACTTACGTTGTACCTTTCCCTTCCTTTCCCTGTTTGAAGCTTCTCTCTGTGTTTGGTGCTGAGGATCTTTTACATTTCTTTCTCTAGTTAATGGTGGGCAGAACTCCCAGGCAGGCAGGGCCTTAACTCTGAAGTGAGCCTGTGGCACTTGTTGCTCGTCTGCTTGCTGGTGTAATTGGCCACATGTATGACTTACCACAATCCATGATTATTCTTCTGTCTGAATGAAGCCAATATGTTACTTCCAGTCTCAGAACTGCGTGCCTATCAATTAGAGCCATGCATAAAAAATGCTGCTTCGTTTTTTTTTCTACGAGGTCTCATTCAGTTTGATGAAAGAAATGTAACTCGCAACATTGCCTTGAAAGGAAGAGAGGATTTTTCTAGCTGGAGGGTAGTGCCTTGGCACTTATTTAATGATGAAGTGGCCAAGTGTTCTCTTGAGTGTCTAATCTTCCACTATATAATCATCTCTTTAGCAACTTACCACTTTCCTGGCTCCTGACACTTCAGTTCCCCTATTACAGTACCTTCCTCCATCACAAGCTGCTTATCAATGCTACGCAGTTTTTTTAAACAGTTTAGGAGGAGACACAGGGAGGGGTTGCAGTGAAAAGGAAGACTTCAGATAATTTAGTAGCGACACCTTGTTATGTCAGAGATAGAAATGTGCAGATTAGCTAAAGTTGCTCCATGTAACTTGGCATTCAGAGATCAGGGAGTGCTGAAAAGAAGGCATCATCTTGGTGAAGAACATCACGTTTCTATCAGCATTTGCTTTTGTGAATTAAAAAAAATATTGGAAGACTTTAAAAATGATAACCTCATAAATGGTACATGGAGAGTGGAGTGGGTATCGAATGCAGGTCCAACTTCACTAGTTTGTGCCCACTGCGGATCCACTGAGAGCCAAATTCCCAGATTCTCTCCCATAAAATTCCAGGCAGAATTCCTTTTGGTCCCTAGTTAATGGTGAGCAGAGGGTTATATAGGGTAAGGGAGGGGGGGGTTGCACATTCTCTCCTATCCGGGTCTCAGGATCCCAGCCCTTTTAAGATAAAATTACCTTGTAATTTTAAGATAAATTACCATGTAAAAACAAAATAGTAGAGCTGATAATGAAGGTAATAACAATGCATTTGTTTTTCCTTGTTTTACTTTAATTTATTTTAGGGGAGCTCAAAACCTTAGCTCCACTAGACCGTGAAAAGATCCCTGTCTACAATCTGATTGCCAGGGCAACTGATGGGGGAGGGAAGTTCTGTCAATCAGAAATCCATCTGATGTTGGAAGATGTCAATGATAATCCTCCAGTGTTTTCCTCTGACCACTACACTGCTTGTGTGTATGAGAACACTGCCACTAAAGCTTTGCTGACAAGAGTTCAAGCCAATGATCCTGATGTAGGTGAGTATAGGACACTGAAAAGAATACTAATGAAAAACAAATAGATAGAACTTGGTAAGGGGTAGCCTTTATTTTCCTTGCAATATATGCATTAACAGCAATTATAAAACTCAAAAACAACACAAGAAACTAAAGTTCTCAAGTCTGGATTTGATCCCCAAACCCACAGCTATATTCAGCTCACGTTCGTTGGTTAAATAGTATCTTACCCCCAAAATAGAAGAAATAGAAGAAAATCCATGGGAATCAGTTGGACCATAGATGGGCTGTACTCAAGATTCCAAGGCAGAGAATGTTACAAGAGATGTATTTTCATCAACATTTCCTGGAATCCCAAGAAAGGAACTTTATGATTGTGTAAAGTTGCAGTGCAGCATAAGGGGAGGCTTTTATTAGGAGTGCCCCAACTGTGATTTTGGGAGCCTCTCAGATCAGTTTTCTGCCAGTTACATTTTGGTCATCTCATAAACTTTGTAAGGTAAATGCAGTTCACCTGTCTCCTGGAGGGTTTTTGCTAACAAAAGACAAACTCTAGGCAGGGTTCAGTTGATGCTGAAGTTCATCCCATTGCATGGTCCAGCCATAGCAGAATGTCCAAGTTCATTCCCATCAGATTTGCCACAGAATTCACTTACTACCCTAAATAAAATAAAATATAATAAAATAAAAATAAGATTCATCCTTGGAATCTTAATTTTTCTTTAGGATGTTTGAAAAAAAAACATGGAAATTCAGCTTAACATGTTACTGCTCAGACTAATTGAAGTGTGCTGCTAAAAATGTTTGAATTTGCAGCGAATTTTAAAATGCAGATCAAAATTTGAATGAAAATAAAAGATGTATAGATTTGTCTGCTTTTTCCATCGTGCCATACTCTCCTTTTGTGGCTACTTCACGTCAGAAATAAGGGAGCACGGCAATGAGAAAGAGAAACAAAGGATCAGCAGATTTTATACTAATGATGAATAGTGCAGATTTCATTTTCTAACTTTTGACTTGTAGTTAGCTATTAAGGTCAAATGCAAACACAGGATGCTAGTAATAAAACATGACAGTATTGATATGTGAATATTAAAAGAAAGATCTCTTGATTCAGCAGTGTGTTAATACAGCTATAAATCCTTCTGTATTGAAGACCGGAAACTCTCTGCATGCATGTTCATCTTTTGCAAGCATGCCACTTTGCACAGTGATATCTGCTTTAAGGGTATATTTTTATGGGAAGACAGCAGGAGAGAAACAGATTGAAGAGGGAGGCAGTTGTTGTATGCAAAATTCTGTATTCTGCTTGCTGAATGCTCTAAGGGTGTTTCCAAGCCAATCAAGTCCAAAATACCATGAACATTTCCTATTCCAGAAAGAGCACATTCCAGGAGAAAAACAGAATAATCTGAAGAACACCACCAGATAAAAATTTTTGCCAAACTTGAGAGGCAGGCTTCTAATTAGTATAGTAGTTTACCAAATGTTGGGTAGATTTTTCAAAAACTCTGACACTGGGAGATAACCTTCAATTTTATGCTTTTTTGGGGGGGGGATAATAACAACAAGCCCCCTCCCTCCCTCCCTCCCTCCCTCCCTTCCCTCCGTCACCCACCACAAATCAAATCTGTAAAAACTGTAAAATATCCATGGTGAATATGAAGAAGTATCCAAAATCAATTAAAAATATATGACAGATATTGTTTCAGTCACCACCATGGATTCTGCCCATGAAGACTCAAGACTCTGATGAACCTGAATGACTTTATTAGTAAGATGCTATGCAAATTGATCACAGTGGTCAGGTGGGAAATGTTGATGTCAGATCCCCCCTGAAAGGGAATTAGCCATGCTTGCCATCACAATGAGAGGAGAAAATGCCATGCTATAGATTTGAACACAGGTCAGGTTTACTTTTCATTTTCCTCCACTGGTGGCATTACTTTTGCCACTTCAAGTCTTAGAGGTCCTTGGTAAACCAAGAATCAGCCAACTGAGAGAAGGAGAATCTCATCAACTGCCCAGGTTTTGCCTATTGCTAGTAGCTCACTAGGCATTTGATGGAACTACCTGCCAGATTTCCACGAAAGTTCCCAAGTGCCTGGTGGAAACCATTTATATCCATTAGGCACCTGAGGTATACCATCTGAATGGGACTACTCACCCTACAGAAGTGCTAAATGGTAGTCAGTTTCATCTGGACCAAGGCATGATCTGACCACAGGGAAGGCATGATGGACATCCTTTCTGTATCCAGATCGCACAACCACAGCACAAATTCAATGTAGTGTGTGACCACTTATGGTTTGGGCCAGATATTGTCTGGGACAAACCCATGATTTTCATAAGTTCTACAAACTTTATTGCAGTCATTGATCAGAGCTGGTTGCCTGGACTTTCCCAAACCCTGGCCCCAAGGTGTGGAGGTTGTAGTCCCCCAACATCAAAAGGCAGGAGATACTAACAGTTAGTGACTTGGACAAAGTCTATCTAGTACTTCCACAGCTGAGGGTAGAACTGAATCTTGTTCTCCCAGCTCCTAGTGTAACATCCTTCCTAATTACCTCACCAGATTTGCCTTTGCAGTACAGCATGAACTAAGGAATTTGAAGAGTATAAATAAAATAAGTCAGAGGTGTATTCAAGGAACCACCATTTCCAGTGGATAATGTTTCCCAAATGAAGTAGCTGTTCTTATAAGGAAGATAAGTCTAATTACGGAAATTTCATTTTTTTTTTCTTCTTCTTAGGCTTTTTAGTTGTACACTGGGGGAAATGAAGGCATATTCATTAAGTAAAGCAGCAAATAATGACACAATATACCACTGAGGAAATAACCATAAAAGCTGTCATAATCTGCAAGGAGTGGACAGCATATCTTGAATTTAAAGGAGCAGGTTCTCAATTGGAGGGTCCTCCTGGACTTGCATCTCCTGCTGGAACAACACATGGAAAATGTGGCCATCACATTTTCAGTTGCTCAGTTGTAGCCCCCACCAGGAAGCCCTAGCAGTGCAGAGGAAATCATACCAGTCAGTCTTATATCACAGTGCACGGACCAAAGGGGAGGAGAGATGCAAAAGAGAGAGATGCAAAAGTAGAAAGTCGCATTGCGACAGTACAACACGAAGCTAGTATTGTGCCAGTGTGACGCAAAGGTAGCATTGAGACAGCACCACACAAGCACTTCTGCTTTCGTAGTGCATCATGGGGCAGAGCTGACGATTTGATGCAGCAGAAGTCTGTCAATGCCTGTGCTTATTACCATAAATTGCAAAGAGTTACAAGCTCTACATTTGCCTTTGAAAACAATTTGGAAGCTGCTCTAGGTATGAAATAGAAGAGCCAAATTGTTAGTGGGTAAGAACTCCGGTGTCAGTATTACACCTGTCCTCCAGTTACTGCATTAGTCGTTAATAGGCTTCTGGGCCAAGCTCAAAGCACTGATGTTGATCTATAAAGCTTTATACAGTTTGGCTGCAAGATTGGAATCTGCCTTGTCTGTGCACGCATGTAGGGAGGGAATGCTGTAGGCCCTGGCCCAATCTGAAGTTAAAGGTATTGGTAGTGCTTCTTTATTTTGGTTTCCATGCTGCAAAACACCTTACTCCCAGAGTATATCTGGCACCCTACATAAGTATTTAACGGTACTGCTTTTATTGACTTTGGTTTCTGTTTCTTATGGTAAACCACCAGAAGTCATATTGAGCTGAGTGATATAAAAATAAATGTAAGAGATAAAGATAGACAGACAAAAGGATGCATATATTTATGAATTATTGATTATGTGCCATCAAATCTGTGTTGACTCTTAGTGACCACATAGATAGGTTTTCTCCATTACAATCTATCCCTAACCTGGTCTTTTGGATCTTCCAATGGTGCAACGATGGCTGCTGTAAGAGCCTCCAGAGAGCTAGGTCTTCACATAATGTGTCCAAAGTAGGATAATTTGAGGCTGGTCATTTGTGCCTTGAGTAAGAACTCTCAGTTGATGTGTTCAGTAATCCATTTGTTTATTTTCTTGGCATCTCCATGGTATTCTCAGGAATCTTCTCTAACACCAAATTTCAAAAACATCAATACTTTTTCCATCCTTCTTCAAAGTCCAACTTTTGCTTCCATAGAGTTTCAGAGGGAATACCATTACTTGTATTGTTCTGATGATCTTATTGGTGTTCTGATCAATCAGTTATGGGGGACAAAATATCAGATGATGATTGTCTGAAACATTTCATTAGCCACATACATTGGATTGATTGAAATGCTAACAGGTAGTCCTCAACTTAATGCCACAATAGGGACCAGAAAATTCATTGTTAAGTGGTGTAATCATTAAACAAGGCATCACATGACTGCACCCAATTTTACAATATTTTTTGCAGTGGTCGTTAAGTAAATCATTGTGATCATTAAGTGAATCACATTATTGAGTGAATTACTTGGTCATTAAGTAAATCACACAGTTCCCAATTGGTTTTCCTTGTTGGAAGCTGGCTGGGAAGGTCATAAATGATGATCACATGACCCTGGGACACTGCAATCATCATAAGTACATGCCAGTTGCTAAGTGCCTACATTTTGATCGTGTGACCTTGGGGACACTGTAACAGTCATAAATGCAAGGACCAGTAGTAAGTCACTTTTTTCAGTGCTGTCATAACTTCAAACGGTTGCTAACAAATTGTCATAAGTCAAGGACTATCTGTATACAGATTTGAATAAATATTTTGAGGTCAAATGCATCAACTTTAGTTCCCTGTTAAAGGAATCATGAATTCTTCAGTTACTGATAGATGCTGAACTAGAAACTACGCTTAATAGATTTGGGACAAGCTGACTTCATATGGATTCTTATGGATCCATTTTGACTTCAGTATGGATTCTCATTGTGGTTTGTTCCAATGCTCCAAATCAAGAAATGGGAAATTACAATTAATGAAAAAAGTCCTGGCTTATTTGTTCATTTTCATAAAAGGATAAACATAGCATCTTCCCCTTACAATACAGTATAAACACTCACCTATGAATAGTAATTGTAGCTATTTGTTACTCTGATTTATGTAACAACTCACCAATAACTTACCTGACATTGGGGCCAGGGGGAATTCATACTATAGGAATAAATAATAGTAATGATGGATGATCAAGCTATTTATTCAATGACTTGAATCTGTAAAGACTTTAAAATACCAGTGAATCAAGTAGTCAGATAATAAAATCATAATTTAAATACTACTTATCTTTAATAACTGCAGAACGTTGGGAAATATATCCCGTGTGTATCGACATGTAGATTCTAAATGGTAAAATTATAATTGAAATACCATTTCTTCTTAATGACTTTTTCAAGGTTTCATGTCATCGCCTTTGGGTAAATCAAAAAGGGTTTCAGACAATATCCCTGTTCCTTGGAGAGTGTCATCTAATCTTTTGTAATATAATTTAAACAAGTGTTCGTATTTTGTTCTTATGATTGCTTTTTATGAATATGCCTAGACAACAGAGCATCCTTCCCCAGGCCTTCCTAAGGAAGGAATTGTGCTCCTGCCATGTCAAGCGGAAAATAAATGTATTCTACATTCTGATCCATGTTAATTGATTTTATACAATACATTTCTGTCATAGGAAAGAAGAATTGCCCAGCTTGATGGCTGAACCTATTTGATCTTGGTTGAGCTGATAAAGGTGATGAGGTTTAAAGCAGATTTAGGGCTTCCAAGTTTGGGCTGCAAAATCTGGATGACCACTTTCTTTTTTTTATCCATTCAGTTGTGTCCGATTCTCGGAGACTACCTAGACAAGTCCCCGCAGTTTTCTTGGCAAGGTTTTTCAGAAGTGGTTTGCCATTGCCTCCTTCCTAGGGCTGAGAAAAGTAACCAGCCGAGGTCACCCAACTGGCTTTGTGCCTAGGTGGGACTAGAAGTCATGATCTCCCAGTTTCTAGCCTGATGCCTTAACCAGGACACCAAAAATCCAGATAACTCTAACTCTTTTAGTTCCCATCTAATGGTTGTCTGAATTTTTGCAAGTTATATGTGGTAGCCCTTCCTGATTAATATGTGAATGAAAGACTCCCAGGAAATTCCAGGCTAGAATGGGAAGTTTAAAAAAAAAACCACAGAAGAAGACATTGAATCATTTTTGTATTGATGCCAAAATATATGGATGGCCATGAAATCATCAGAAGCTGGGCTCAGCTTGAAGGAAGCTTTATCTTTAAAGAAGCACTAAAGTAACGTCACCAAATTTTGAATTAATGAAGTATAACTAGAAGCAGGATGTGTAGTTTGTGTTTGTGAGTGATTGATGTCAGGCAAATAGTTCTGGCTTGAAGACAAACGCGTTTCTATTTCTCAGTTGGCTTCAAAGGAAGGGAACACTGACTTTAAAGGAGTGTTGCATTGTTCTTTGTTTCTCTTTGCTATTGCTAAGTTGTACAGATAAAGCAGCAACAACATGGAAATGTGCATAGTTTAGTTTTTGCATTTGTGCTTAATTAGGCTTAAAGTGGTCCCCTGCTGCAGTATAAAGGGAATTGCCCTGATTTCACTTTTAGCATACAGATCTCTATCATTCCGAAGTTAGCTCAAGTTGGCTGTCTTGGTGAGCAGATATTTCCCTCGGGGGTGGGTAACCCAGGAGCCCACACATGGCCTCTGAACCCATTTTCTTTCAAACCCTTTCCAGCTACATTTGCTGAAAATCAGTGGTAGGGCTTCTCGTCGTTCTCAGGAAGCTTTAAAATAGGGTAGTGATCGTGGTTTTTTTAAGAGAGAGAAAAAAACAGCTCCTCTCTCTCCCTCCAAATAGGAAGAAATAGAACCTCCTGGTCCCCCTCGCCCCCCACATAAGAGGCATTTCCCTACTGAGTCCCCCATCCATCAGAAAGTTGGCCACTGCTGCTATACACCAACCTTTCCCAACTTGACAGTCTGACAGTATTCTGGGACTTCAGTTCCCAGATCTGTGGGTTAGAAAGGCTCAGAGATGCAGTTCTAGCACATTGGACCTACACCAAATTATTGCAGACTGCTTTCCAAGGACAATTACCAGGGACAACCTTCTGTGAAACAATGGCAATTCCAAATAGCAGCTGATGGTGGTTGACCCAGACAGGAAATGGAGCAAGAAGTATCTCACAGGTCTGCTGCTAATAGCACTGAACTTTGAGCAATTACAGGTAGTCCTCACTTAACGACTGTTGGTTTAGCAGTCATTTGAAGTTACGACAGCGCTAAAAAAAGTGACTTACAACCGGTGCCTGAAGTTAAAACCATTGCAATGCCCCCGCGGTCATGTGATCGTGATCTGGGCACTTGGCAGCCAGCTTGCACTTATGATGGTTGCAGCATCCCGGGGTCACATGATCACCATCTGTGACCTTCCCAGCTGGCTTTCAGCAAGCAAGATCAATGGGGGACTGCATGATTCACTTAACGACTGTGTGATTCATTTAACGACCACTGTGATTTGCTTAACAACTGCTGCAAAAAATGTCATAAAAATCAGGTCCAGTCACATGATGATTCACTAACAACCGCATTGTTTAGTGACCTAAATTCCAGTCCCAATTGTGGTCATTAAATGAGGACTACCTGTAAATTGTTATCCCATGTTGGGATCTTGGTCTTTTCTGCATCACTGAATTAAGAACTGCTGTTCCCTCCTTTTTTTTTCAGGGGTGAATAGAAAGATTGTATATTCCCTGGCAGACTCTTCAGAAGGCTTCTTCTCCGTCGACAAGTCCTCAGGCATCATCATTTTGGAACATCCTCTGGACCGAGAACTTCAGTCTTCCTATAATGTCACCATTAAAGCTTCTGACCAGAGCATTGTACAGACCCTGTCATCATTTGCCACCGTTACCATTACAGTTCTGGACATTAATGACAACCCCCCTGTCTTTGAGAGGAGAGATTATCTGGTTGCGGTGCCTGAGGACACCTCACCAAATGCCAAGATTCTTTTTGTTTTTGCGACCAGCAAAGATATTGGTACAAATGCAGAGATCACCTACTTCATCAGATCTGGTAATGAAAAAGGGAAATTCCAGATCGATTCTAAAACAGGTAAGTTTACCAAAATAAGAAGAAGGCTTATAAAGGAGGTTTAAAAAGAATCCTTTCATTTTATAGTTGGGAAGGAAATAGCAGGTTTTTTGCACTGCTTACATCGCTGCTTATATTTAACTTTTGTTTCTTTGTTACTAATTTACACTTCTTCATATGAACAGCAACAGAACAATATTACAAAAATACTGAAGAATCTCCATGGTGCCTATTAAAATTCAATATAGAACTTAATGGCTGTAATCCTCATTTTCACTAACCTGGGAGTAAGCTCCATGGAACTCTGTAGGACTTACTTCTGAAAAAGGACACGTTGGATTTTGCTATAGAAAAATATCATTTCCAAGCCAGGTATATCTCCCCCGCATAAGATTTCTGTTTGCCTAAGTGAAGAACCTGGCATCCATTTCTGTTAAACTTCAGTCACTTATTTTCAGACCATTTCTCTAACCTTGTTTTATTACTTTCTGGGTTTTAGCTACCCCACCCAATTGTGTGTCATCTGAAAATTTGATAAGCAATCCCTGTAGCTCTTCATCTCAATCATTAGAGAAAATATTGAAGACGAGAGGACCCAGGAGGGGATCCTTGTAGCACTCCACATGATACTTCTCTCTAGGTTTGATGAACAACCACTGATGAGTACTCTTTGAGTGCCATTTTCAAGCCAGCTATGTACCCATTTAATTCTCATACCATTCATCCCACATTCAACTAGCTTGCTAATCAGCTTGTCATGAGGTACCGCTAAGGCTGTTTGTATGCAGTATTGATGACTGAAGGAACACTAAAATGGATCTACTAATACTTGTAGTTCAATAGCCATTTCCTTTCTAATGCCTTGTCCAAGAAAGGGATATTTGCAACTGGGTGGTAGTTGTCCAAACTCAAGATTTAAGGAGGGCAAGATAGGCTGTGCTACTGCCTCTTGTAAAATGTTGTAGAGAGACTAAGAGTGGGAGAAACAGCCAAGATCCAATTCTGATTTGTGAATTATTAGTTGAATTTGCAATTCAAAGTGTTGGGTCCATCTGAGTCAAAGATATGTTTCAGTACCTTGTCTGAAGAGTCAAATCAGTTTGATTTCAGGATTTGATATGACAAGATAAACGCATGTGTACGTGTGCACAAAAGTCTGTCAAATCTCCAAATCAATTTGAAGGCCTTAAGGTTTTGTTTTCGGTCCAGAGGAAAGGGGTGGAGCATGGAAAATGGAGTGAGGTAGTTGTGCCAGTGATGGAAAATCCACCCTTAAGAGGGCATTCTGGAAAGAAGGTGCTACCAGTGAGAAGATCCTGCTTGTGGTAGGTTCCCATCAAATTTCATGCAGATTTGGAAAACCTACTTCTAATATCAAAGAAGTCACAAGGGAAGCAGCATACAGAAGATGGTATTTGTGTCTTTCATTTCCTTTAGATTCATATACCATCCGTGTTTGTGCAAAGACTCTTCTCACTGACATCAAATCAACTGAACAAAAACAAAAAAAATAGGTCTCTTCTATATTCTCCCATTGCTCTCAGTAAAAAGAAGAAATAGGTTCAGTGAGTTAATCTTCATTCATGCTTCCGTGCAGGGTTTTCTTTCGTTTTTCCTATTGCCTTTCTTTTCTCTCAGGTCCTGAAATCTCATTTCTTAGTGTGGAATCAAAACACAGGACACAAAGGCAAAATAATCAAGGCTTCACTGCAGTGTTT